TCAACCAAGTTACATTGTGAGGTCACCCCACAGTCTCCCCCAAAGTCCTCCTGAGAGGCCACAGGGTCCATTGCATTACCTATACCCCATAGCTCTCTCATGTGAAGCATGACTTAGGGAGGAAGCAGAGAGGATTTTAATCTCACTTTAAAGAGAGTACCTGGTGGCCAGCTGTGGTGCTCACACTTGTAATCTGAGGAGGGTGAGGCAGCAGGATCACCATGAATTTGAGGTTAAGTTGGCTATATATGAGACCTCATCTGAAGCAACAACTAAAAATAGTATCTATTAATTAGAAATGTTACACTTCAATAAAGCATAGAGATATCTAATAATCCTAATTCACTTCAAACTTGTAACAATCATGAACATTACCCTGTTGTTCTACTCCTATTTCATTGAAGATACTTCCTTCTAATAACACACCAAGCAGTGTCTACTTAATAAGAGTCAAATATACACACACCTACTTAAACTTTCCTTCCGGATTTAAGTTCCACATAATAAGTCACCTATAATTATTTCCATTGAAAATCTCATAAGCACATTACAAGCCCATCCTTGCCCATTTTCAGAAGTATTGCATTCCATTTGGTCTAAGCACAGAATGAGCCAGGCTATGGTATTAAATAACCTTTTCTCAGGCCCCAGAGCACTTTTGTCCTCATGGACCTCCCTGAAGTTGAACTTCTGTCCCAACTCTAAACATTTCTGCCTGAACTACCTCCATTTGTTTTAGGAACAAGGACTTCTGCTACTCCGTGTTCTGCCTCCAAGCAGAACAGAGAGAGCTTCACAGCACATGGGCCTCCTGCCCATGTAGGAACTTACAGTGCCTTGGGAAATGTGGAGAATTTCTGTTGTGTTTAGCAGGTCAAAGTGGGTGACAAGTCTACATTTAGGATTGAGAGGCTCACAGAGCTTTCTCACGGGGAAGCGGGGACTTCCACAGGATACAGCAGATGCCAGAGCTAGACTTGGAGGAGAAGGTGAATGGCATTGGGCCGGTCAAGGAGGCTGCAGAAAAAACAAAGGCTAACCGATGGGTCAGAAGCATAAAAGGACAAAAGAAAACATGGTGCTTCTTGGAACTGAGATCTATAAGTCTGTATATTGTTTACAATGTCAATCTCCCAGTGCTCTATAAATACTGACTTCATGCTCAGAACAACTTGGGAAAGCAGTTCTCTTATTAGAAATGACCTGTACATGGGAGGCTACCAGTGGCCGATGCGGGATGGGGGGGGGTGGGGGATGGGGGGGGTGGCTGGAAGAGTCAGGGTGGGAACCAGGCTTCGGTTATCTAGAGTCCAACCTGCGCTCGGTCCACAGGGAATTCAGTGAGGTAGAACCCAGCACCCCAGGGCACACTGCAGAGGGCAGATGAAAAGATACGGCTGGAAAAGGAGTATCATTAGGAAGGTAAGCTGAAGACAACAGTTGTCTTCCTGAGCTCTCAGAAGCTACTGGATAGTTCAGCAGCAAAGGGATCCCAGCTGACGGGAACATTAGAAATAGCAATGACTACATCTCCACTCCTTCCTCTTCTCCATCACCAGCCAGTGCAGTCGCTCTTTCTCAGCACGGTCATTTGAGGAAGCTGTCCTGCAGTGATGGAAACAGGAACGTGTAGTTTCTATACAGAGGCCAGGTGTGTTCTCCTAAACCCCTCTTAGGCTGGTTTTCCAGGCGGAGCCAAACCTAGGGTATCGGTGCCCCTGCCCCGCCCACCGTGTCAGGGAACAACTCACCATGAATTGCCTTTTAATCCTGTAAACTATTTTCCATTTGATTTGGAAATACTTTAAGCTGGGTGCTAAAGTTTCAACAACAAAATGCACCAACTTCCCTAGTACTTTCGGGGAACTGCTCCACCAAATTGAATGCATTGATAGTAAGGCCTTTTTACCTATTGAGGTGGCTCACATAAACTCATCACTTATCAGCATTTGCACCCCCCCTGTCCTTATGAGATAATAGTCTATGTTCGACAGAACCAACCATAAGGTGGCCGTTGCAACAGCATTACTTTCTTGGACCAGGATAGAATTAAGTGTTCCAGACTGACTGGGGACTGGAGAGCCACCTCTCCTCCTTCAGTGGTATTCACTGCTTTTAGGACCATACAAATGGTCATCAGCATAATGCCTAGACAAAGTAGATGCACTTTCTCTATAATCTGAATATCTGGAATTCGTATTCATCTGTAGACTTGCGCTCTGAAATGCTGTATGCGTTCTCATGTCACCTTTCTTAGATTTTATACTCAGAAGCTGCAAGAGTCTCTATTTCTTTGCCTTCTTCCCTGTGGTGAGCAGACTCTCATATGATTGCTAAACACCCAGTTTATGCCCTGTGTACTCCCCCTCTCCTGGAGTGGCTGATTTCCCTCCAATGGTGTGTCAGCTTTCTGCAACTGTGAAAAATGCCCAGGATAAATCAGCTTTAAAGGTGGAAGGATTTATTCTGAGTCAAAATTTCAGAAACTGCAATCCCTGGTCACTTGGCCCTGTTGCTTTGGATCTGTAGTGGCACAGTATCTCATGATGAGAGCTTGTGTCTGCCTCTTAACCCATGGCAGCCAGGAAACAATAGACAAGAGAGCAGGGGAAGGGGAAAGGAGGGGGAGGGAGGAGGAGGGGGTGGGGGCGGGGTTGTGGGGGGAGCGAGGGAGGGAGGGAGGGAGGGAAGCAGTTTGCAGGAGACAGAGGAAAGAGCCAGAGTTCCACTTTTCCCCCGAGGATCCTTTATCTTAAAGGGTCTAACACCCCCCCAGGAGTGCCTTCATTGAAGGACAAGCCTTTAACAGTGGCCTTTGGAGGGCATTCAGGTTCCAAGCTATAAGGGATAGGACAGACCCACAGGACATAAGTGCCATGTACAATTACAATATCTCTCTTCCCTGGAGACTCTTTTACTGACTTCAGTGGCCATATTTTGGCACGGCCTTGTTGACAAGAAAGAGAAGGAGGCCTCTAGCTGCCATCCATGAAGAAACTGAGGTCTCTTTCTGGCAAGGCAGCAGAAATTGAACTCTATCAGCATCACAAGCTTGGAAGCAGATCCTCATCCAGTCAGGCGCTGGGATGGCATGACCGTCGCTGTACACTGAATACAGCTTTCAGATGACATCTGAGCTGAATCTCAGTAAAACTGAGCTCAGACCCCCGGCCCATCAGAAACAGTGATACAGGAGGCATGTGCTGTATGAGGCTGACAAACTAGCAATGCTGACTCACAGCAATGAATAGCACATCTATTTGGCTTCTACTTGTCTTGTTGATCAAGTCACAGCAGTGACCTCAACTTCTCTGTCCTTGTTAAATCCCTAAGGCTTTCTCCAGGGCATTCCACACCCTCACACTCTGGAAATTCATGTCCCACAGTCAAGACATTGGCCTCAACCCTAACTACTGTTGGCAGGAATTCTGAAAGGTGGCAATTGAGTCATGAACCTAAGATCTTGCATCTATACTGTCCCTTCTGAGGATAGAGTTTCTTCCTGGCCAGGAGCTCATTATTTGGCTGGACTTTGGGCAGTGTATCCTCAGGAATTTGCTTGTCTCTGCCTCCTCAATCGGCATTGCGAGTGTCTGGCACCACAACCACCTTTCCTTCTTATTCCTTGACTGCCATTTGACACTCCCTAGCACGCTGGGCATTTATATGGCATCTACTTGTTCTTATATAATTTACCTTTTGGGGTATGCACATGTCTAGTGAGTTCACATAGGAAGAACGATTGTGCCATGAGATATGATTTGAATTTTACAACTGACAGATTATTTCTTCAGATACCTGTATCAATCTGCAGGTTCACCAGCAGTGTCCATCGCGTAGCATGAGGTACAGAGCTCTCTAATTTTTAATTATCAATTGTTCCAATTCTATTGACAAGCACACAGTTTGGAATGCCACCTTTATCAAATTAAAACTCTCTCCCGTGCTCAACATGAGTTGTTTATATGTTCTAGTCTTGTTGAGTCTATTAGCACCACATAGTTTTACTTGTGGCTTCACAAGAGCTCCATTGTTGGGAGCCGTGCAGCCCAGTTTTGGACCAGTATGAGTGCTTGTCCAACGGGTCTCCAGATGAGGCAATAACCCACGGGGACAGTATCACTCAGCAAGGACCAGTGGACTCCTGGGCAGTGCAGAATACTGCCAGGACCACACAGCCTGCGTGATGTCTTCTCTCTCTCATAGTATTGATTTCTCTTGGGGGTTTTTGTTGTCACTTTGTTAACTGCTCATAGGACAAATGGGATCATTCCCATTTTTTCTAAACTATTTTCCCCTAAAATCCTCTGGGAGCTGATGCTTCCTAGGTTTCTTGTCTGGGGATGCCAGCTGTCACTTCAGACCTCGGGGAGCTGTTCTGATTCAGTGCTGACAGGACTGGAGGCAGAGATCACCCCTGTTTTCTGTAAATATGTTTTGAATGAGATTGTGTGCTTATGTCAGTCATCTTTTAGTTTTGTAGAGACAGGATGTACCTGGCTGGAGATTTGGCCAAGCTACCAATATGATAAGTGTTTAAAGATGTTTTGATGTAAATGTTGGGAGAAAATGTATCTGTCATATTTGTCTTTGCTGAAGGTTAACATTGGTGGATGAGAAAAACTTGTTAATATGGAAAAACATGCTTGTTTTTTATGTATAAATAAAGACTGCTGGAGCTATTTAGGGTCGATCACATGTGTGAAACTCATCTGGTTCATTTCTAAGTGCCGATGCCCCTTCCCTATCTCAGTACCTGAACCCAGGCCGCACCTGAACTGCAGTACTCCACGTCTGTTTAAAGCCATTGTCACAAGACACCGGGCAATGCCTCTACTTCCAGTGCCCACTCAGGCTTGAGGAGAACTTCTGGCCTTTGAACTCAGCTGACAAGGGAATGTCCGTGTAGTTAGGCGTGGATTCTTATCTCTTCATTCTCAGCATCCCCTCATCCTCCTCTTTTGGTCTTTATCCCTTCAAGAAGTGCATCTAGACACCGGTTAGTGCAACTGCTGTTTATTGGAAAGCGCAGTGGAGACAGAGCGCAGGGGCAGGCAGGACAGAGCCAGCACCGGGTCTGCTGCTCAGCACAGGCACTTGTTGCCCCACTTGGCCATCTTGTTATTGATGGGCATCTTGAAGAATTTGTCACACTGCAGGAATGCAGCAATTTTCTCCAGAGCCTGAAGGAAAAGCATACCACAGCTTATTAGGACTCTAGCCCCGCCCAGCAGACAGCACCATTTACACGCTGTCTGCCTTCACCCGTTCCTTCCAGTTGCTGCTTTCAGGGTGTGTGCAATCCAGGCTCTTCCCAAGATCCAGAAGCCTGGAGGTGTCTAACCATTGGTCCCTTTAGGCAGAATTTGGTGTTGGGCAAGTACAATGGGGCCTGTAGGGTGTAGGGAGTCTGTGTTTACTTCTGTGAGAACGGGGCATGGAGCGTCACCTCAAAGCGGCACATGAAAGCCTTCAGGTTTGGGAACTCATCCAGGCACTTGGGCTCAAACATACGGTTCTGGTCTAAGACATCATAGGTGAGAAAGTCCACAAAGGTAAGCTAGAACGAGACAATGAGATGTCAGGCCTGAGGAGATCACGGGCACCTGCAGAGACAGACAGGCTCCTCTCCCTGGGCCTTCTCCTACCTTTTCCCCTGCAAACCACGAGAATTTCCCCAGGAACAACGAGAACTGTTTCAGCTGTGAAGGTAGCTGTTCCAAGTACTGAGGCTTCAGGCTTTCCTACGAGAGAGAAGGAGCAACAGCTGTTGGGTCGACAAGATTGTTGACCAGAGTTTGATTCCCAGGTCCCTCATTTATGTCTTTTGTACACATTGTTCTCTCTTTCTCTCTCCCACACATAACAGCTGGCAGCCGTAGTCAGGGTCTGGACCAGTGATGGACACACAGACCCTTCTCGAGGCAAGATGGGGAGCTGGGCTTTGGAAAGCAAGAGAAGCTGACACCAGAATTACACGACAAAACAAAGAAAAAAATAAAATATGTTTCCAATCCTCAGGGATTGGGGTGATGGCGACTAGAGAGGGGAGCAGAACAATTCTTAGCACTGTTGCCTGAAACCCCAGGCAGTCGACCCAGATAGAAACTCACATGGTCAGAGTTGTAGCAGAGCCGGACCAGCTGCATGCGGAAGTCCATTATCTGGTTCTCCATGATGTCCACTCGTATCTTTTCTTCTTCAGTGTCACCGCCTGTAGGCCAGATGGCGGCAACAGATCATCCTCAGGGTTCCCTACCTCCAGCTGGGCTAACCGCCTTGTCCTCCATCAGCTTTGGCCACTCACACATGTTGTGCTTGCGAGCGATGTATCGCAAGATGGCGTTGCTCTGGGTGATCTTGTTCTTCCCGTCCATGAGGTAGGGCAGCTGGAAGGAAAAAGCAAACTAGTGAACCTAGCTTGGACTCGCCTCCTCCACTCTTCCGGGAAAAGAGACTTTCAAAGCAGCAGACACGGGATAAGAGAAACTAGGAGAACGAACGAAATAAATAGAAACTAGCACTCCGTTCTCACCTGATTCTAGACAAGGGTGCTTAATTTTGTGTCAGTGTGAATGTATGGGTGTAGCATGTCGACTTTCTCAGAATACTTTAATAAACTGTAAATATTTTGTATTCTAAAGTAAAACTGCAAGAGTAGTGTGCTTATGGATACATTAAAGACCACTTGGCAACCATGACACTTAAGTTCCTGGGACACATTCAGGAGAATAGGAAACACCCGATTTCTGTCAGTGACAAAGTCACAGATCTGGCTAGTAACTAATGTCTCTTATAGCCTGTCTTTATGAGAGAGGAAGATGTTAGTGTTTGATAGTAGTTAGTGGGAATTACAATGTTGCTCTCCCTGCTGCTCAATGGCCCTTGAATTCTCTCCATTCTCTCTGTGTGAAGAGCCTCTATTCTAGATTCTCCCAAACCAGAGATGAAGTAAAGGACGGATAACTAGAAGGCCTTCCCTTCTGCCCACTCCTCCAAAGCCACCTACGTTAGGAAAATCCAGATCTAGTTTGAATTTCACGTCCAGCCATTGGCTTCTATCATAGTCAGGAGCTGTAAGAGAAAAGTAGGATCCTTACTTACCAAGCTAGCCGTGAAATGACTTAGTCCTGATACTTCAAGTTCCCAATCCCCAAAACCCGATCCTTAGGTTTCTGCAGCCTCCGTATTAAGATGGGCTTGAAGAGCAAAAGGAAACCCCATGGGTGAGTTTCTCTTGGCACAGTTCCCAGCTGACTGGAGCAGGGGACCCATAAAACTTCTGTGTAGTTCCTCCCTGGGTGAAAGACAACTGGAAGGCCACCCTGGCCCGGTACAGAGGGCCACCGGCACCCACAGACGTTACCTTCCCCACACGTGTACCGTTTCTCCTCATAGGAGGTATCAGTATATTCCAGGAGCATGCGGATGGCATGAGCCAGCTAAAGGTAGGGTACAGAGACGGACCCGGGTTAGCGCGCCTGCGTGGTTCCCACTCGCTTCCAACCCCCACCCGTCAACGTCCCCAGCCCAAGCCCCTGCATCCTGTGGCGGGGGGGGCGGGAACTGTCGTTAAGCAGCTCCTTCGCTCTGGTCCCTTCCCGTCTCCTCCTCTCCCCACGGGATCCTCAGGCTGGCCGGAGGTAGACCTCGGAGGGTGGTTTAGCAGATGCTGGTCACAGCGGGGAGGCCGCCTCCGCACCGGCTGCTGCCCCCGCCCCACCCCCCCGACCCCTCCGGCCAGCCGCCTGAATCTATGTCCCAGCGGCTGGGCTGGCGAAGGGCCACTCACCCCGCGGATATCCCAGTAACCCAGAACCATAGACGACGACTTTGACGACATGTTGGAGGATCTGAGCCCCTGAAGGGATATGCGAAAGACTGTGGGTGCCCAGCTTTATACCGGACGCTGTGGGCGGGGCCAATGTGATGGGACTGGCTCCTCCTTCCTCGCTCGGTTCTCCACCCGCCTTCCGCGTGGTAACTGGGCCAAGCGCACGCGCGCCCCCGACGCTGAAAGCTTGTGATGCGAACTTCCTGCGCCGCCGCTGATGCATTCACAAACCGGTAGTGGGGACCTGGACCTTAGTTACCAGGGGAGCGTGCCAGTCATGCCGCATAATGAGTTGGCTTTGGTCAGCCAGAGTCGGAATTCTGACCACAAGGGAACCACTGTTCTTGGTTCCCTTGGAGGGACGTGTGAAGGGCTGAGAAGGAAAGCATGATAACAACAATAAGAACTAATAAATCACTTAGACACATAAAACTGCGAGGTAGGAAATAAATGATTCAGATATAAGGCAATACCTAAAGTACTTTGGGGGTAGAAATAGCCTCTACCCAAGATACAAAGTGGCTCTGTGAGGGCTTTGGGGGAGGCTGTGGACACTGAGCAGGGTCACTGAGAAAAAGGAAAGGTTATGCACATTGGAAATTCCTGAAAGGACAGTCCAGGCAGGAGAAGGGTAGAGCAAACCCTTACAGGTGGGAAATAGATGTGCAAGCAAAAGGCAGGTGCTCTTGAGTTTGGCTGCTTTGTGAGGCTGTGACAGAAGAAGACGATGAATGTTAAGTGTTCAGCAGCGCTTTGCAAAGGGTCTTGACTGCCAGGCAGAGGATTTGAGTGTTTTTTTTTTTTTCTCCGCTCTGTGAGGAGTGCATAAAATCTAGATCATGATGTCCGCTAGAAGTATAATGTGTGGCACACATGATTTTTAAATGTTCTAATAAAAGGGGGGTAGTGAATCTACAGAGAATACCTTATTCAGCCCACTATATACTGTTTCAGAATGCAATATGAAAATTATTAAGATGTTCTATTGTTGTTTTAGTATCTTACGCTTAAAATAGACCTCCATTAAGACTAGTCTCATTCTTATGCTCAGGGCCCACATCTGGATAATGTGTGCTCTGTGAACAGTACAGATCTGGATGCTTTACTGAGATGAGCCACACTGTCTGACCCCTCTTTAGGAGGCTGATCCAGCTTCTCTCTGTAGAGTGGACTGGAGGAAGGAGAGCAGGATGCTCTACTGTTGATTTGCATACCTAGATGCTAGGGATCTAAAACTGGAACCAGTGAGACAGCAGAAACAGTATAGGGAGTGGGGATGAGCTGGTGGGGGCTCCAGTAGAAAGGGGACTTGTTATTTTTAAGAATGTGGATGTAGTGGTCCTAGTGAGGTGTTAACTCTCTAGCATGTGGTTCCTGGAATCAGTCTCCTGTGCTGGTGCTGGAGGCAGAGAACTCCAGCAGAGAAATGTTGAGCATACAGGAAGGCATCACTGTGTAGACAGCATGTGAAGCCATACATGAGATCACCAAGGGAATGAGAGCTGTAGACAAGAGACAAGGTGTGTGGGCTTGGACTGCTGTGGCACAACACTTAGAAGCAGGGGGATGAGAAAGAACCAGGGAAAGAGGCTGAGGCAGTGGCTGGTGTGGTGAGGGGGAAACCAGGTGTCCTGGAAACCACGGGAAGACAAGTAAACAACCACAGAAAATGTGAGTGGGTTACCTTTAATGAAGTCTGAGAATTAAAAGTTGGGTTTAGTGACACAGGCGTTATAGTTCCTGCAAGAAAGTATAGGATTTGTGGGAGGCTGCTGTGGTGTCTGGAAGAACCTAGCTTCAGTGTACATCCACAGCCCAGTAGACTGAAATATGAGAACAGCCATGTAGCACTGTCAGTGCTTGCCAGGTAGGAGGATTTGGAGTTATTGTGGAGGAGGAGGTTAGGGGAGGCCAGAGTTGCTCTGCTCACCCTCCACAGCGCAGCTATCCAGGACTCCCAGCACCTACTCCTCAAGTCTGGGTGAGGGAAATCATAGCTTAGCTCAGTTAAACTTCAGACTTTGTAAAAAGATGTTTTACTGAAAAAGAAGTTAGTATAGAGATGTGCGACTCTATAATCCTCCCAAGAAAACAAAAGCCAGTGACAAATTAATTTGATGCTCGAGACTAAATGTATAGGGCATCTCAGTGTGCCAGGCAATGGTGTAGGTGTTTCACTTGCAGCTAGAATATTCTAATTCAGGCTAAAAACTTTGTGCAGGAGGTGTTCTGCCCATTTTACAGGAAAAGGAGTGGAGGCCTGGAGACAATGGGTGAGCCACTCAGGTTCTCCGGGTGGTCCAGAATTGAGGTCGAGCATGGTCTAATACTTTCACCGGTCCACTGTGCTTGGCTAGCCATACAGCCTCTTACCCCACCATAGTTTTTTCTGTGAAGTCAGGGGGACACTGGGATAGTTTTCCCTGTTTCTCAGCTCTGAGATGAGCTAAGGCCTATGGGTTAGTATCTCTGATGAGGGAAATCCTTCTGTGTATATGCTGTCCTATTGGTTGATAAATAAAACACAGTTGGGCAATAGGGAAGCAAGATAGGTAGGACTAGGAGTCGAGGAGGATTCTGGGAAATGCAGTCAAGAGTGGAGGGTTGCCATGTGATCCCAGGGAGAGAGGACACATGAGGTTGTGTCCTTGGTAAGATAAGACCTTATAAAAATATATATTAGTAATTATGGGTTAATAATTAAGTCAGAGCTATCCATTAAGAAACCATAGCAAACAGCCAACAGCATCATAATTAATATAACGTCCTGTGTGTTCATTTGGAACTGACAGCGACCCTAAGATCAGGCTGGCAGGAAGAATGCACGTTACAGTATCTCCTTTCATTCTAAGACCTTAACTTTTCTGATTGTTTGCCCTTGACAAGTCAGACTCTGAAGGCCCCCCCCAGGGAAAGATTTTGCTTTCATAGTTTGTGCTACCAGCTACAAGAGATAATTTCTTGAGGCCAGGAAGTTGAGTGAATGATAGAAGCCATCTAAAAATAAGGTACTCAGCTCCTGATGGATATTTCAGTCCTAAATAAGTTCAGTCAAAAGAGATTTCCTGGATCATCTTAAGAACCTACAAGGACTGGGTGGTGGTGGCACACACCTTTAATCCCAGCACTTGGGAGGCAAAGGCAGGCAGATCTCTGTGAGTTTGAAGACAGCCTGGTCTACAAAGCTCCACAGAGAAACCCTGTCTCAAAAAAGAAAAAAGGAAAGAAAAGAGAAGAAAAAAGAATCTACAAGGGGCTCTTGAATCCTTGAGAATATCAAAACATACCCACAGAGTATATCAACGAAAGCATAGCTTCTCTTCTGGGAAGATAAACTCATTTCATGAGTCTTGAGACTGAAGTAAACTACACTGAAAGACAGTAGACACCACACCACACACAACCCAAACGCTTCACTTAACCTGACGACAGAGATTCAGGGAGTGGACCGAGTGGCCTGAGTTCACACAGTGCACCTGGGGACTTTCACCTCCCAGTGCAATGTTCCCAGAGACAGGTGGGAAAAAGCTCAAGGACTCACCTAACAAACACTGGTCGAAGTGCAAGTTCCCAAGGAGAGCTTGCGGTACCTCGCTCACTTGTTCATGCCCCCCTGGATCACCAGCCAGTGTGAGCAAGCCTTGCAGTTGTCAGCTGAGGGTTCTCTGCTGCTGGGACATGCCATGCCTCCAGCTGTACTAGAAGCTTCGGATTAGACTGGGGGTCATGTTCATAGAAGGACAGCAACAGTGAGCATGGCCTCGCTTTGGAGTTTATTTAGAGAGGAGAGAGAGAATGGACCATAGTCCCCAGAGCTGATCCTCAGATCCAGTGGCAGTGAGCTCTGTCTTTAGCTAGGTCTGAACAGTAGAGGTTGGAGGGTTGTTGCTGTTTCATACCCAGCCCCTGCTCCCCACCCTTGGTTCCCACCAGGCCCAGAATAAACGGCAAGGGGAGAGGCGTGTAACAGGCTTAAAGATGCTCTTTATTGGACAGGAGTGGGACTGAAGAGATTAGGAATAAGAGGCAAGCATAGGATGGGGGGAAATAAATAGTAACTGGAGAAAGGTTCCAACCCAGCAAGGGCACCGTTTGCCTCAGAGTCAGGGCTTGTTCCTCTTCTTTGCTGTGTGATCTAGGACATGTGGTTTGCCACAGACTGAAAGAGGACTTCTGAGGGCTCTAACTGGGTACCAAATGCTCCATCTTGGAGATGAGAGGTCCTTAGTCTTGGAGGTATTTGAGCTGGTATCTAGTGAGTCATCTAAAGGAAGAAAACATTCATATGGAGCTGGTTCCAAGTACGGGACCCCCAGAGTTCATGTCACCAATATGACTAGAGCTTCCAGACACACCTGAGTGGAGAAGCTGAGTTCCCAGGGGAATACCCCACACCTAGTTCCCAGCTCCCCCTTTCTCAGCCCAGGAGGATTAAAAACCCCAGGGTGGGAGTCTGGGCCTCACCCCCAGCATCCTTCTGACAGCATCCAGACGGGCCTGGATCCGTGAGGCCTCCTGTGGACACAGCATCTGCAGCTCCCCGAATCTCATGTGAAGTAGCTGGTTCCCCATCAGGGATCCAAGGGTCCTCACGGTGCTGTAAGTAACAATGGTGGAATCCACCAGAGGTGGGGTGGGGGAATGCTTGGCCTTAGTATTTGTATAGAGAAGGAAAGCTGGGTTATGGAAATTAAGGCTCTGCAGGTGCAGGAATAAGTCAGTTATGGAACTCCTAGGTTTGAGGACATGAGCGCTTTAGAAGAAAATGTTCTGGAAGGGAGGGATGGTGAAGGAGACAGCCCAGGTTCTTCCAGAATCCACTACCCATGACCCCTGCTCTTTCGCTACATATGGTCTCCCCACTTGGCATCCTATCCTGGGCTCAGACCAGCAACCTTCTCCTGTCCTCTCGCGTTTAACAAAGAAAGCCTAAGATGGAATCGTCATGTACAATGGAAGCTAGGTTGCATGTTTAGGTCTCCGAGGGGGAAGGGGTCTCTCCCTTCTCCCCCATGGGACTGGGCACTCACATAGTGGAGAAGTTCTCTGCTTGTAGCCAGGCTGTGACTTCCGCAGGCTTTGAGCTGAGACGAAGCATTGGAGCCTAGAATCAAGGACACTTGGAAGTCAGAGGTCATCCCTCTCACAGCCGTGCACAGCCTCCCATATTGGGTCGCATCTACTGAGATCCAGCAAGCCACTTCTCTTACTT